ACCTAGACACAGGAGAACTATTGTCGTGAAAGTGTTGTACAATCGATTACGAATTTAGATTGCAGAGAGTTTGTTCTGAGCGCTAAAGGCACTCACGATAGAGCACATTTTGCTTTATTCTAACACAAGAAGCCAACGTCAAGAAGGAAAACACACACAGCTTGCCAAATGCAATACACTCAACGCGAAGCCCGTGTTTTTTCACAGAAGACCCAAAAAGGTCATTCACTGCCAGTCAGAGAAACACCCAACAGCAATTGTAAGTGGAGAGACGATCAACTCGAGTCTTGCTGTCAAACTGTTTCCTGTTTTTTCTGACTGTTCCTTCTCTCTTGCTGCTCTCTTGCTGCTCTCTTGCGCCGCCAAGCTTGTTTTGCAGCATGTCTTTCAGTATTTCTGACTTTGCGAGTGTCGTCCAGACGCCTGCAAAGTCTCCCTCCGCGAATCCGGATGGTGAGTTACCGAGGGGGGGAATTAGCAGTGGCAAAGAGGTTCCAATCCTACTATTGGACCTCTCCAAGGATTTTGTTGGGAAGAATCCGCGTTGTGGCGGATCCATCGGTCAGTCAGGTTGGATGTGCATAAAATTGGGATGTGACAAGCCCACCCATGTCAAGAAAAAACACAAACTACTACAAGATAATATGAAAGGCCAGGTGGTTTTCATTCAAGCGGATTCCAGTGGCGATTTGGTCCATGGCTCTCCCAATTTGGAATTGAGCGAATTTGGACCAAGCCATTTCAATAAGTATCAAGATCAAATCCAAACCCCAGAAAGTTGGGAGTCTCTGTTCAATTTGTTACTAGTGAAGGACCAGAGAATGGCAGACAAGCTTTCAGCTGACAAATTTTATGAGTTAGCAAATAAAGCTGCTGCCAGAACTGGTCCAACACTATTCAAGGCTGCAAGGAAACTAGGTGAGAAGTTTTGCAAGTTCAGGGATCTGATTCTTGGTCCACAGGACTAGGTCAGACAAGTATGTATGTGTTCAAAATACAAACAAAACAAAAATAAACAGTAAATGAGAGCATGTCCCATTGCTGCCAAGGGTGATTGTCACAATGGCAGGAGTGTGTTGGGATATGACGAAATATGAGTTTTTACGTTCCAAAAGAAACTATTGAAGTACGAAGTTTTTGACACATGCGATCGGACTTTGATCGTGATGTCGGGATTTGACGCAAGTCTGCCAGACAATCTGTATCCACACAAAAAGGGAAAGACCCTATACAAGTGGAATATTGATGTTGTGTATGATACAGTAGGGAATAATACAAGATGTCCCAAAGTACTGCATTCAACACAGGATCCTTGTAGAAGTTGAATCGAGTTCTGTAAACAAGGGATTTTCCAAGGGAAAATCGTTGAACTCACTTTTGTGATTGAATCATCAATTCAAGCCAAACGTTAATCAAATAGGAACAATTTCACTCAAAGTATACCTAACACAGGAGAACTATTGTTGTGAAAGTGTTGTACAGTCGATTACGAATTTAGATTGCAGAGAGTTTGTTCTGAGCGCTAAAGGCACTCACAATAGAGCACATTTTGCTTTATTCAAACAAGAACGCTTCCAAAACGGAAAGGAATCAACTTCCTTCCAAAAGGCAATAATGCCAACAGCAGCAACACCGGTTTCATGAAGCATGAACCGATGCTCCAAGCTCTATATTTAAGCTGACATTCACATCGACGAACTTTATGATGAAGCTGTCGAGCCAAGTCATATATATGCCTCCAAGACGAAGGCATTGATGAACTTCTGGCATTCGAAATGGAGCAGTTTGCACACAGTGGTTGTGGAACAAAACGAGAGATACAACATCAAACATGTTGAATCTCCAAGCAACAAATGGTTGCTACTGCATAGAAGCAATGCAGAACGATAAACTCAGATTGTGAATTGCACTATCAACATACTCTGTTGTACTGTGATCCAATAGAGTTAGTACTGAATTTACGTAGAAAACTTTGAATTTATCACCAAGCCAACCATTCAACACCGGCGCACCATGGGCAAATCTATCACCGCGAAGGCATCCTCGGCGAAGACAAAAAAGTCGGGCGTCTCTAAGATGAAAACGACCTCTGGGGCTAAAAAGTCCGTCAAGAAATGAGTTGAAATTGATCTAGAACAGCCTAAAGACAGGGATCCCATCGATTCCAAGCTGGTGTCTGAAACCCAGACTGAAGAGAAGCGTGTTACTGATGACAATGAAGTGCAACGCTTGGCTGATGAGATTGAGGCGAAACAAATTGCCAAACGAGAAGCTCGTAGGAGTGGGCATTACGACAGCATTGTTCCAAACTTGTCAGAGTGGTGGATGCAGAATTTATATTTGGGAGACGCTGTCGACAAAGCATTGGAACGCCATGACCCTTTCCATACGGGTAACGTGCTTTTTATGGCGTGGGAAGAACGTTTTCCTGGCGCTTGGAACCAACCTTGCCTCCGGTATGACAATCCATTTAACGACAATACAGGGACAGCAACTTGTGAAGATCGTTTCGCCCGCATTTTCACATCGATGAACTTGGATAACAGTCAATTGACTAAGTATCTCATTGTCGCATTTGACACCGAAACGATGGAAGTGAATCCATCTGAAGAAATTTGGTCTTTACGAATCCTGGCAATGCGGATTTCTTTACAAAATCCGTTTTCCTTTTTTGGTATTGATGGGTTTGAAGACAAACCAGACAACAATCATTTCTTTTCAGGCGAAATGAACAATCCATGTCTACGCTTGGAGCATCCCTTGGTGGGCTTTTGGTTAATTTGCTCCAAATTGTTTGACTATCCATGGATTAATGAGTTTTTGTTGGAGTATTACGACGACCCGCCATCCGCAATTGTCGACGCAATCAAACAAAGGAGAACTGATGAGTCCAACAAAGCTCCTCCAAACCAAGAACTAGTGAAGGCATCGGACCCGCCTCGTATTCAAAAATATATGATCCAATGAATTCTATTGACGAGCCAGACACGGATGTTCAACAAGATTCCGACGGATCTGTGGGGGACCAGGCGCAAAACTCAAATCGCTTTGCATCTCTACAAAGTGACAAAATATCGTCCGACAGTAGTGGAACTCAAGAGTTCGACGAGGTTAAAGTGGTGGCGGTGCAAAAGAATCCCTCCAAGGAGCCCGAGTCATCGGATGAAGATGAAGACAATGATGCTGATGACACTGAAGACAGAGGGACCATCGTGGACGACGCAATGGAGGAAGATGACGATGATGAACAGGTCAATAGCGATGGGACGAATACGCATGATGAGGCCATGGACAACAACACTCCACCGTTGACTTCCCACAACCTCACAGCAACACAAGACTCAGCAGGTACAGGGATCCTTATGGAGCCCTCGGAAACAACCCCTCCTCGCGTTCAACGTCCACCAACACTTGCCGAACGGATTTCTAACCTCATTCAGGTGAGTATGGAAGGGGTACCAGGCAAGTGTCACATCTTCGAAACTACTTTCTCTGTGGACTATCAAGGGTCGGATTCAGGAACTGTGGCGGCTGCGCTCTTGTCAACAGTTCTGAATTCTATGGAGGAAGCAATCAACAATTCCCCTCATGAATTAAAGCTCCTTCCGATCTCTGATACCACATATAAACAACAGAATCTTTGGATTCGAAACTCAGTAGATTTACGTAATCGCCTTCCGACTTATCGCACCTTGTTGACTTACTGTGATATGGAATATGGTAACGGTCCTTACGCGGCAACCAACAGCAAGCCGGGCGAGAAGAAACTACGCACACGCCTTTGCGTCGGCTTTTCTTCTGAGGCTTCTGTCGAGGCCGTCCAAGACTACCTTCATACTGGACTACGTCAATTGGGTAGAGGCGCTGGGTGCTACCCTTCTCCGTTGCAGTATGGAGAAATTGTGAAGATCGGATCATGCTCGTTTATTCCTGCAGAAGTTAACTTCTCAGCTTATGCAAAGGAGCTGATGAGACTATTTGATTTCGAAGTACCTATTGGTATCAAGATGGATTGGGTTTCTATTCCGTACACGGGACAAGCAAAGTACGACAAACGGTCTCCTGGAGTGACTAGTCCACATTGTTTCACTCGGAGGATTCATGCCAAGAGAGTTGATCGCACTTTGAGGTCGATTCTCCACCCAGCAACTGCAAAACCGGACTTTCCATTCGCAGCACCGGCCACCCATGTTGGTGAAATGGGATCTTAACAAATAAAAGAACAGTCGAACATGTCGGACAGTGAAGTCGGGCATTCGTGATATCGAACACGGACGGGAGTACGGTTCGAGTACTTACAGAGATGGATAAGTATTGAAGGTAGATCCAGATCTGTGACTAGTTCGTGAAGAACATGTGCGTAAGTTTGTGAAGAACATGTGCGTATGTGCTTTATGCGCCGCAACAGCTGGTGAGAGCTGACGCAGGTTGCTTCCGGAAGAGATTTTTTGTACCTGCTTGTGGAGATCATTGTTGATCGACTTCTGGCAAGAATAGCAGTAGAATAAGATCTAATAGGAAGTGGTGAGACTGTTCATCCGCAGGTAGAAGCCCAGCATCACTGGCACCTGTTCCTATTGTAGGCAATCCATAGCCGACGTAGATTCGAGCTCAGTATACTCCAGAGGTGGCTAGAGCGTTGAGGCTCTCATTACAGCTACGGAGTTGATTATCTGACAACCTACATCAGTGATTGAAAGTCGGCGCAACAAGGATTGCAGAGTGTCAAGACCTACGGTCCGGTGAAGGATGCGATCCTGACCTTGATCAGTGAGTTACGGGACTACTACATTTTGACGGAGGTTCTTTATCCAGGCATCAACTTCACCGGAATGTTCAAGTTTGCTACTACACGGTTGTACGGTTCTTGCACCCTGTTCAAACTGCTCTTGTCTATCAAGGCCACTCTGGCCCATGCTGATCAAGCTTCCACAGCTGCCAAAGACAAACCCTCTACAACTGTCAACGACGACTCATCTGAAGAGGAGGACGATGACACTCAGGAGGGAGCGGTTTCTCTATCCGGAGCATTCACGAAGGTGACAAAGAAGAAGGTGAAGAAGAAGAAGAAGAAGTCGCTCCTTTCCAAGAACCTCTAAAATCATTTTCTCAAAGATCTGTCCCCGGTACAACGCAAACTGGCTGAAGCCACAGACCGCAAACTGCAGAACGATATTGATCGCCATAATGTTGTGATCCTTTGTGCCATATATGGGATGTTGCAGGCATCGTTGCTATGGTATCGAAATTTGAGAGCTTCTCTAGAGGAGTATGGCTTTGTTTTTAATCGATATGATCCCTGCATTGCCAACAGAATGGTTAATGGCAAACAATTGACAATCAGGTTCCATGTTGATGACGTTTTGGCGAGTCACATGGAACAACAAGTACTTGAAGATTTTTTCACATGGGTGAATGAGAAATATGGTGGCTTAAAGGAGGTCACATGCACTAGAGGTAAAGTTCATACTTATTTGGGTATGACATTGGATTTTTCGAAGAAAGGAAACATGAAAATTCGCATGGATGATTATGTGGATCGCATGCTGAGTGAGTTTCCAGTCAAGTTTAAGGACAATGAGATCCAGGAAACACCAGCCGGAAATAATCTACTGGAGAAAGGTAAAGGGGCACCGCTTGAGAAGGAACGACATGAAGTGTTCCATTCGTTTTTTGTCAAAACGTGCTCGTCTGGACATCAGTCCGACAGTATCGATTTTAGCATCAAGGGTGCAATCTCCGAATCTGAGTGATTGGCACAAACTGGTTCGATTGATGAGATACATCCATTCTACAAAAGGATGGCATCTGACATTGAGCGCTGATGATTTGCGCGTGATTAAGTGGTATGTCGATGCATCATTTGCTGTTCATCCAGACTTCAAAAGTCATACTGGAGCTGTGATGACAATGGGCACTGGAGCAGTGCAAGCAATTACACGAAAGCAGAAATTGAATTGTGACAGCAGTACATATGCTGAACTAATTGGAGTCCATGATGCGATGTCCAATATTTTGTGGACCCGCTTATTTATGGAAGAACAAGGTTACCCAATCAAGAAGAATATACTATATCAAGATAACAAGAGTTCGATCCTGCTTGAGACAAATGGGAGATCGAGCGCAGGCAAAAGGAGCCGTGCGCTAAATATTCGGTATTTCTTTGTGACGGATCAAGTCGAATTGGGCAATATTACTATTGAACACATGCCAACTGATGAAATGTGGGCAGATTACATGACGAAGCCTTTACAGGGTGAAAAGTTTCGCAAATTCCGGGCTGTAATTCAAGGTGACCAGGATTAGTCCTGATGAACAATCTTGAATATTTTACTTGTATTGAGAAGTAATTTTTTCGTTCCATCAACTGGAGTCGCTGGTGAATCGACAGGAGTGTGTTGGACGTATTGAGATATTGAGCAATCATATTGGTCGATTATTGATCAATGGTCTATGTGACGTGACGCGGCAGTGACGTGAGTGTCGAACGTGCGTAATATGAAACGCAGTATGTCAGAACGCGTCATCACGTAGAAAGGTGATCAAGAATGAGAATCGTGAGAATTTATAAGATGATTTTGAACTGCAATCGAGAGTCTCACTATCGATTGAGTTCTGGCAAGAATAGTATTGTGGACGTTGAGGTCCAAACGAGTATAGGAGATAATAAAGTAAGACCTTTGATTGAATAAGACTACTACTTATTCCAGAGGCTGAGGCCCAGAGTCGCTGGTGCCCAAAGGCAGACCATAGCCGACGTAGATTCGATCTCAGGGATTGCTCATTGAAACAGACAGGGCGTTGAGGCTCCCATTCAGGTCTGTAGAGCAAGTCCATCTGACAATGTCTGCCTTCTCCACCATTTGCAGACCTTACCCTGTACATTTATAAGACAAAAGATGGTAGATTTACACGCTCTCAAAGGCAAGATGGTCCAGATTTTTGCTGGAAAATATGCTGGCCATGAAGCATGGATGGATAATTCGCAGACATGGCATTTCAACGAAGGAACAGATACAGCAAAAGGGACTCGTGCAATCAACCATCTGGAAGAGCTCTTTTCAAGGTATTGATCCCAAGGCAAGACCGTATGGATAAGCGGACCAAAGAGGGTTGCTATAGGTGATCGGGAAATCTTTGCAGAAGATGGAGGGCTACGGGAAAAGGTTCCAAAAGGAAAAGTTGTTGTCTGCGACAGAGTCTACACTGACAAAAAGACGGCAGGCAATAACGCAAAGCTTGCCCTCCCCAGCCTTGCTGATCCTGGACCCTTATTCAAATTCAAATCCAAGTTGTGAGCAAGACAGGAGAGTTTGAATGGAAGATCGAATCCTTGATGCGACTTATCATCATGATCCAAAGAACCATGTGTTTGTGCTGGAGGCAGTTGCTGTGCTTGTTCAGTATGCTATGTATCATGGACGTCCAATTTCCCCCGCAAATACTGGTGATCATTACCCAGATTCGGATGTTTAATTAAATTGGGATATATGAAATAAATTAGACTTGAACTATTTTAAAATATTTGATATTGCAGGCCTCACTTGAAAAGGCAACATTCACGTCATGCTTGCGCGCGAGCCGAGAATTCTCTCTACTTTTTTAGTTCTGTTGTAAATTTTGTCGTAAATTTTGTCGTAAATTTTGCTCAGTTGATGGTAGAGAATTTACGACAAAAAATTACGACAAACTAAAACAAAAATTACGACAAACTACTGTAGGACAAAAATTACGACAAAGTTTTGTCCTTAATCAATCACCAAATGTTTTCGGAGAAATAAACTATAAATATTAGTTTTGGACCCTGAAATAGTTAGGATCCCCTTTTTTTAAATGATGAACATAAATTGTTGAGATAGAATTTGATAACCCCGTGCTGCAGGGGTGCAAAAATTCTTCCCATGTCCCATCCGAAATGGGTTTCACACCAATCCGAGGGGTATCCCTGGAGAAGACACGCCAAATATTTTCTGATTGGCAGACTTTCCGATCTTGTTTGAAATAGGCAAGGCTGGCTCTAGATTTGGTGAGATTTGATTGGAACGTTATTAGTGTTCAATGCTGCGGCATCATATCTATTATCCGGCGGTTCTACATTTTGATTGGACGAGAAAATTTAGCGCGAAACACACGAATTGATTTTGCTTTTACTGGTACATCAAAAGTTCAGCATTTTTTTACGATGCCCGAGCTTACCCCAAACGCATTTTCTGGTGGCGAAGGCTTCATTTCTCGGATTACTTCCAAGATCTCCGATGGGTCGGAGATCTCTGTGGATGATTTGGGAGGATTGCAACAACTTCTATCACGAAGTGCATCATCCGAGCTTCCAACATTAGACAAGGACTTTTTGAAACGGCAAATCGATGAAATACAGATTGTGCATCATGTCGGCATGGTTCAGAATATGCTGGACCCTGAATTTTATGTGTCATCTTTGAATGGCAGATCGCTGCACTTTAGGGACTGTAATCCAACATCCAATTCAGCAAGCAATGACACTGGTGAGGATTTCTCAAATCTTTCAGAACGCCAGCCACTATTTGTAGTTCCAATACCTTTTACAGCAGGCTGGTTCAAAGAACGTTCTATCGTCAGAGGAACTTCTATTGAAAGAACATTGACGGCGGAATCCATGATGGCAAGTGCATCCCGCAAGCGCGAACGGGAAACCGAGCAATCAAAGAAGTCGAAACGCTGTTCAGAGTCAGCCAAGGAGATTGTTCGCATGAATGATTCCGATGCGTCGAAGAGAGCAAAATCTCTAAAACAATCTGTAAAATGGTGGCCAGCTGGGTGCAATGGGAGCGACGACTCTAGCTCCCCTGTTTTGGCTAAGTTCTACTATGACGAGTATATGAAAGCGGACAATAGGCCGACCACCCTTCGGCTGAATGACATTGTCGAAACTATTGGTGTTCTTTCTATGAATCCTTGGGAAGCTGAGTTCTGCACGGCAGATAGCGATTTTGTATTTGATTCGTCTCCACCACCCCCAAGCCAACTCCCTCGGCTTCACGTGCTCGCATATCGAACTATCGACTTGGACACTCTCGCTCATGAAAGAGTCTTGAATTTGACAGAAATGACACCGGAGATGATGGGGGGAACATTGGATGGTGGACTGAAGAGGTCTCTTGCTGCTCAGGCAATATTCTTGACCATACTTTCGAAAGCTGAACGAAAAGACAACTTAATCCACCGTTTGTCCACATCTGCAGTTGGGTGCGCATCATTGAAAGTATCCACGACGGTCGATAGCAAAGAAGTGTTTCAGCGTTTGAAAAATATCCTGCACCAGTCCTGCCCTGTAGTCGCAGCATTGGACTTAGCATCTAAGGAACTGCATCCTTTTCCCGCAAAGTTAAATGGTATCATTCCCGCAACAAGTTGGCAGTTGCCGTCTGGATCAACTTTGTTGATACATGCGGGTGATTCAATGCAAGATGGGTTGGAAGAATTGCTAACTTCACACCAAATTGTGTATACTTTCGAAGGTGGAGTTCAAATTCCGTTTGAAGCGGATTATAGCATTATTGTCATATCAAACAACAAAACTGTGAAATGTTCATTGCAAGTTTACTGCGACGAAGAAGACCTATCTCGGCTAGAAGAAGAGGAATCACGACTTCGTCAGGCCCTCTCTGCATGTCGCACAGTTGGTAATGTGAAGCTGTCTCCAGAAGTTTTGGAGCGTGCTCAGGATGACTTCCTGTCTCAGAGGTCCTCCGCACGGTCCAATCCAAAAGCAAGAATGCCACACGAAGATGATTTTCACCGTTGGTTGTGCTTGACACGGCTACAAGCACGCAGTCGACGCTCTGAAGTAGCAACGACGGAGGACTGGGAGCAGGCAGTTGCTCTCGATGATGCTATCTGGAACAGTCTTAACTAGAAAGATAAATCATCCATGACGACATTTGATGGATATTTTAGCCAACTACTTGAAAAGTGCAATCATCGATCTCATTTGTATGCATTTTTGTCCGTTTTCCGACCTAGTTCTCTTCCAATATGGACTTCAGTCTTTCAGAATTTACGCACCACTCTTTTGCAAGTGCTTTATTAACTTTCCGAGCAGGGGCTGGCCCAATGCACTCAACATTGATGATGCTGTTGATACTCCAGTCCAAGGACAAAAGTGACTGAACAGCCACTGCAGCCAAGTCCTCGCGATACAAAACTCCTGGTAAACTTGAACTCGAAGGGTCTAATGAAATATATCCTCTTTCAACTACCAAGTCACCCTGCACTCCTGAATGAACGATTGGTAAGGAACAAATCGTGCAAGGAAATCGACGCCAAGCGAAACATACCTTTGGCAAATGTCCATGAATTTGGAGAATTCTCAAGTTGCCCATTGGGCCGAATGTAAACATAAGGAATGCCGCAAGTGTTCAATATATCGATATGTTTATCTCCTGAATCCCTTTCAAATTGACTATCGCTCGCAAGAACTATTAGCCTTCTTATCCCTGCAGCGCGACAAGCTTCCAACGATGACCGAAAAAAATCAAACGAATGATCTGGAGAGTCAATTTCTTGATATGTATCAGACCTTGGTCTATCCATATAAAACTCTGTCGTTTTGTCATTAAGCGTCCTTTCGTAGGATCCACTGGTTACGGGCCTTGTTTCCAGTGCATAGCAGGTTGCCAGGACTGCTGCATCAAAACCTTGAAGCCGATTTTCGATGGAATCAATGGAAGACATGTCCGTTAGCTTGACAAAAGATTCGTCCGCCTTCAGCAATCGATCATTCATTAGTAACAAACAGAACTGGATCGAATAATCTCGTTTTGCAAGATTTCTACTTACTTGGGCAAGGACAAAGTTCTTGCTTAGGATGGAATTCAATGCTAGGCTTCCTACTGAAGTCGCTGTGATTGCACGGGGCCCTAGGTTGAACAAACCAGAAACAAATGAGAACTAAACTGGGTGGTCAATTTTGCTGCGATTGTGACTCACCTTGAATTCCATCAATACCTGTCCCATAGAGTGACCCACAACGTTGAAGGAAGCCAAAGATACAACCTAGTACAATGTACAGTAATGGTCAGATTCTTGACCTCAGCGGTAAAGGGATGACGACACGTACCACCCAGAAAACCTCCGGCACCAAAAACGCACACTTTTTGCTTATCGTAAGGCTTCGAGGCGCTTCCCAATGAAAGTGCTGCGATATTCCCGACAAGGAGCAAACAGAAGAGCCCTCCGACTTGGCATTTCGAAGTATGTTTCATGTTTCGCTGGCACTCGTATCAAGTTGTTCCCAACAATCTCAATCGGTTGTTACATAGATGAGTCGGATGAGTCATCTTCACAATCGCATGCAAGTATTTTTTAAAAAACCGTTTCCTGGAACACCCGGCAGAGTGAGGACTTCCGAATTCGTCGTGGTTCTTTCTCGAGAAATGACTTTGTCATTTCTCCATTATGTCTTGCATTATGTAAAACGAGACATTTTCCAAAAATGATAGAAGAAGATTATTCATTTAACAAATATTTGACATATATGAGTAAAAACTGCTTTCTGGTCGCTTCTCCTCAATTCCCTCAAAGTGCTCAATTTCCCGTCTATCAACGGCTACGTCAGCTCGTTTGTCCTTCGCTCGGATTGGGAGGGGTATGTAGAAGATAGTAGAGATGGCGGTAATGGTGTAATGAGTGGCTATTTACTGAAGCCCACTCCACGTGCCAAAGTGCCGACCGTTTGATGGAAGGTCGGCCCAGAGGGTGGGTGTGGTGGGAAACTTTTTCTATTCTATGCCTAGTCAACGTTGACGTGTCTTACAACTTCGATCCTGATGCGTTAGGAAGGAGAAAAGACAAGAATATGCGATCGCTGTTGTTGAGGAGTCGCTGCGGGATCTCTGCTGCGCGCACCGCACTCGTTCAATAGTCACTTTGTTCTTCGCTCCGTCCACCGGGTCCCCCACTACGAGAAGGATTGAATATGCGAGGTGGAAAACGGAATCTCCCCTCTTCTTTTTTCCCTTTCCTTTTTCCTTTTTTTTTACCCCCAAGATAGCCATCTCTTGCATCAGCTCGAAGGGCAGACGAACGGCGCCAACCAAAAGATAAGCATCGACCCCCCACACATTGGTACCTGAATGTTATTCCTATTCAGTGTGCCCTTAGGTCTATAGTTGTTAAATGGAGTAAGCTTGATCGAATGTCGCCCCAACATCTAACTGGTTTGTCTCTGTTATTATGCCAACCACAACACAATCAGAAGTGAGCAAAATAAGGTTTCTGCTCGTTCAGCATGAAAAGTGCTCGTTCCAAATGGAAATTACTCGTTCCGAATGGAAATTAGTCGTTTCCCAAAGCGATGAGAAGCGACCAAAGCGATGAGAAGCGACCAAAAGTGAGTATTTTTTTGGGGGGTTGAATCTTGGGGCATTCTCCACATCTGGGACTTTGGCGAATCAGGCTCGCTGAATAAATCTCACAACAAATAATACCGGTAATCATCAACGACACAAAAGACAAAACGAAGTTTTTTTCTCTCTCAAACAGCTTGGTTTTGTCACCAGACATGATTGGCGATAAAACATCGCTAATAAAGATAATGGGGGGTAGGACTAAACAGTACGGGGGATATTTGTGTGGGACACCAAGAAACGATGAGAAGCCACCAAAACGATGAGAAGCCACCAAAACGAGAAATAACTCACATTGCAAAGCGAGTAATTTTTTCTCGGAACGAGTAGTTTTCACTTGGAACGAGTAATTTTGTAAAAGTGATGAGTCGCGACCTAAAAGCAGTTTTTCCATCATGATGTCAAGTGTGCCTTTTTATATGAAAAATCGTAAAAATGTCCCTTTTGGTTCTCAACTATTTATGTACGACAAGATGTTCATATATATGAGACATGTCTTCGTTTTTATTAGTCAAGGAACCATGAGGAATTCTAAAGTCATTGATCTGCCGTCTATCAACGGCTACGTCAGCTCGTTTGTCCTTCGCTCGGATTGGGCGGGGTATGTAGAAGATAGTAGAGATGGCGGTAATGGTGTAATGAGTGGCTATTTACTGAAGCCCACTCCACGTGCCAAAGTGCCGACCGTTTGATGGAAGGTCGGCCCAGAGGGTGGGTGTGGTGGGAAACTTTTTCTATTCTATGCCTAGTCAACGTTGACGTGTCTTACAACTTCGATCCTGATGCGTTAGGAAGGAGAAAAGACAAGAATATGCGATCGCTGTTGTTGAGGAGTCGCTGCGGGATCTCTGCTGCGCGCACCGCACTCGTTCAATAGTCACTTTGTTCTTCGCTCCGTCCACCGGGTCCCCCACTACGAGAAGGATTGAATATGCGAGGTGGAAAACGGAATCTCCCCTCTTCTTTTTTCCCTTTCCTTTTTCCTTTTTTTTTACCCCCAAGATAGCCATCTCTTGCATCAGCTCGAAGGGCAGACGAACGGCGCCAACCAAAAGATAAGCATCGACCCCCCACACATTGGTACCTGAATGTTATTCCTATTCAGTGTGCCCTTAGGTCTATAGTTGTTAAATGGAGTAAGCTTGATCGAATGTCGCCCCAACATCTAACTGGTTTGTCTCTGTTATTATGCCAACCACAACACAATCAGAAGTGAGCAAAATAAGGTTTCTGCTCGTTCAGCATGAAAAGTGCTCGTTCCAAATGGAAATTACTCGTTCCGAATGGAAATTAGTCGTTTCCCAAAGCGATGAGAAGCGACCAAAGCGATGAGAAGCGACCAAAAGTGAGTATTTTTTTGGGGGGTTGAATCTTGGGGCATTCTCCACATCTGGGACTTTGGCGAATCAGGCTCGCTGAATAAATCTCACAACAAATAATACCGGTAATCATCAACGACACAAAAGACAAAACGAAGTTTTTTTCTCTCTCAAACAGCTTGGTTTTGTCACCAGACATGATTGGCGATAAAACATCGCTAATAAAGATAATGGGGGGTAGGACTAAACAGTACGGGGGATATTTGTGTGGGACACCAAGAAACGATGAGAAGCCACCAAAACGATGAGAAGCCACCAAAACGAGAAATAACTCACATTGCAAAGCGAGTAATTTTTTCTCGGAACGAGTAGTTTTCACTTGGAACGAGTAATTTTGTAAAAGTGATGAGTCGCGACCTAAAAGCAGTTTTTCCATCATGATGTCAAGTGTGCCTTTTTATATGAAAAATCGTAAAAATGTCCCTTTTGGTTCTCAACTATTTATGTACGACAAGATGTTCATATATATGAGACATGTCTTCGTTTTTATTAGTCAAGGAACCATGAGGAATTCTAAAGTCATTGATCTGCCGTCTATCAACGGCTACGTCAGCTCGTTTGTCCTTCGCTCGGATTGGGCGGGGTATGTAGAAGATAGTAGAGATGGCGGTAATGGTGTAATGAGTGGCTATTTACTGAAGCCCACTCCACGTGCCAAAGTGCCGACCGTTTGATGGAAGGTCGGCCCAGAGGGTGGGTGTGGTGGGAAACTTTTTCTATTCTATGCCTAGTCAACGTTGACGTGTCTTACAACTTCGATCCTGATGCGTTAGGAAGGAGAAAAGACAAGAATATGCGATCGCTGTTGTTGAGGAGTCGCTGCGGGATCTCTGCTGCGCGCACCGCACTCGTTCAATAGTCACTTTGTTCTTCGCTCCGTCCACCGGGTCCCCCACTACGAGAAGGATTGAATATGCGAGGTGGAAAACGGAATCTCCCCTCTTCTTTTTTCCCTTTCCTTTTTCCTTTTTTTTTACCCCCAAGATAGCCATCTCTTGCATCAGCTCGAAGGGCAGACGAACGGCGCCAACCAAAAGATAAGCATCGACCCCCCACACATTGGTACCTGAATGTTATTCCTATTCAGTGTGCCCTTAGGTCTATAGTTGTTAAATGGAGTAAGCTTGATCGAATGTCGCCCCAACATCTAACTGGTTTGTCTCTGTTATTATGCCAACCACAACACAATCAGAAGTGAGCAAAATAAGGTTTCTGCTCGTTCAGCATGAAAAGTGCTCGTTCCAAATGGAAATTACTCGTTCCGAATGGAAATTAGTCGTTTCCCAAAGCGATGAGAAGCGACCAAAGCGATGAGAAGCGACCAAAAGTGAGTATTTTTTTGGGGGGTTGAATCTTGGGGCATTCTCCACATCTGGGACTTTGGCGAATCAGGCTCGCTGAATAAATCTCACAACAAATAATACCGGTAATCATCAACGACACAAAAGACAAAACGAAGTTTTTTTCTCTCTCAAACAGCTTGGTTTTGTCACCAGACATGATTGGCGATAAAACATCGCTAATAAAGATAATGGGGGGTAGGACTAAACAGTACGGGGGATATTTGTGTGGGACACCAAGAAACGATGAGAAGCCACCAAAACGATGAGAAGCCACCAAAACGAGAAATAACTCACATTGCAAAGCGAGTAATTTTTTCTCGGAACGAGTAGTTTTCACTTGGAACGAGTAATTTTGTAAAAGTGATGAGTCGCGACCTAAAAGCAGTTTTTCCATCATGATGTCAAGTGTGCCTTTTTATATGAAAAATCGTAAAAATGTCCCTTTTGGTTCTCAACTATTTATGTACGACAAGATGTTCATATATATGAGACATGTCTTCGTTTTTATTAGTCAAGGAACCATGAGGAATTCTAAAGTCATTGATCTGCCGTCTATCAACGGCTACGTCAGCTCGTTTGTCCTTCGCTCGGATTGGGCGGGGTATGTAGAAGATAGTAGAGATGGCGGTAATGGTGTAATGAGTGGCTATTTACTGAAGCCCACTCCACGTGCCAAAGTGCCGACCGTTTGATGGAAGGTCGGCCCAGAGGGTGGGTGTGGTGGGAAACTTTTTCTATTCTATGCCTAGTCAACGTTGACGTGTCTTACAACTTCGATCCTGATGCGTTAGGAAGGAGAAAAGACAAGAATATGCGATCGCTGTTGTTGAGGACTCGCTGCAGGATCTCTGCTGCGCGCACCGCGCTCGTTCAATAGTCACTTTGTTCTTCGCTCCGTCCACCTCCCCCACTACGACGTCTATCAACGGCTACGTCAGCTCGTTTGTCCTTCGCTCGGATTGGGAGGGGTATGTAGAAGATAGTAGAGATGGCGGTAATGGTGTAATGAGTGGCTATTTACTGAAGCCCACTCCACGTGCCAAAGTGCCGACCGTTTGATGGAAGGTCGGCCCGAGGGTGGGTGTGGTGGGAAACTTTTTCTATTCTATGCCTAGTCAACGTTGACGTGTCTTAC